GGGGCCCATTATACTAATTGGACGGGGGCCCGTTATACTAATTGGACGGGGGCTCGTTATGTGAGTCTGGACGGGGCCCGTATACTCAGTGGGTGGGGCCCATTATGCGAGTTAGGGCGGGGCCTGTTATACTCATTGGGTTAGGCCCTTTATGTGTTATATATGTATGGTGTGTGGTATCTTGGGAACTCACTAAGCTTTGTGCTTACGGTTTTCAGTTTATGTTTCAGGTACTTCTAGTTGCAAAGGGAAGAGATCAGGATGATTGCAGAGCACACACCACCTTGTTTTGCGTTTTTTGACTACTCTGATTTGCTATGATGATTGACACACTTGTTTTATCTGGATTGTATTGATGATGTTTTTGGAATACTGATTTTATTAAATTAAAAATGAAATTTTTGGGTCTTATTTTTGGGATGTTTTAGTTACCTAGTATATTATGATCATTAAATTACTAGAGCTTGGATTGGCCAAATCTTAGATTAGGTAATAAAGGCAATAACTTTAACTATGTTGGAGAACATAATTTGATCATAATTGTGTTTGGTTATTTGTGTTGATAATAGATAATAATTTTAGATATATCTCACATAGCCCGATTACCTTTAAGAATCAATCACGTGTTTACTTGTATGATCATTACATAGTAGTTCATAAATTGGTGAAAACACTAGGAGATCGGATCAAGACTGCTAAAAATATTTATATTGGTATCCAACTGAATTAATTAATGTTTAGAAATTAATCATAGGAAAAATGGGGATTCAAAGCTAAATGGAAGTGTCTTAATAATCTTGATTACAATCGTTCGTATTTAAGTCGTTTGCTTAGTTTTGAGTTAATTAAGTAGTTAAGTTAATCTTAACTTCAAAAATCAGATAAAAACCCCAATTTAGTTATGGTTTTTAGATTAATTTTTAGTAGTTATATTATTATCTAAATTTCGTTCTCTGTGCTCGATACTAAACTTACTTTATTATACTATAAATTTACTAGGTACACTGCCTATAAGTGCATTAGTAGATAAGTTAGTTAGATTTATAAATTTAAAACTGGTAGGTATATCTTTTGCACACATCAAGAGTCTAGAACATAAAGTCATGTGGTTCAGTATTTAAGTGAAACCGCTATAAATGAAAGAGTAAAAAAACTAGCAGCGGGTCAGGCGTATAAGGAAAAAATAATTTAAAGTTTTTACAATTGTACCCGATAAGGTTTTATTTCTTGAAATATTTCCATAGCTGTATCATTACTAATACTTTCTAAAAGTCATTTTTCAATATATGACACTAAACTAATTAAACATCCATTTTGTTCTGTATATCAGTCTTTACCAACTTTATTGTTGAAAATGTGCGTTCCACACTCGATATTGAGGGTGACGTTTGTTTGAGTGAGTCAGGAGCGTTTACCGTGTCGATCACATTCAAAGTGATCAAATATGCACAGCCATTCCAATTTTTCTTAATTTTTATTTTTTCTGTTTTTTTTGTTTTATTACCAAGTCTAATGGGCCGTCGTTTATTGGGTTTTTTTAAATAGATTAAGTATTGAGATATAAAGTTTTATAATTTCGATATAAATTTTTTGTTTTTTTTTTCAAATGCTATAAGGTAGTTCACTCAAAAAAATTAAGGTAGGTCATAATTTTTTTTTTGTTATATACATTTTTATACAATTTAAAAAATTCGGTGTATCAAAGGAACCACCTTCACTAACACTAAACTCGCCTCTAGTTGAGATCAGAAGATTCTTCATCATAATTCGTAGGTTCGATTGTTTTATTTAGGTTGAACACAAATAATTTATTATCATTACTTAAAAAGGAATAATTAACAGTTTTCTCATATCGTATTTATGTTTCCCTTTAACAACATAATTAATGGATTTAGTTGGCATACAAGTTTAACACATAGACCTAAAGGACCGTATCAAGTAATCATAAAAAGAAGAGTATTAGATTGACTAATTTCCTCAAATTGAACAGATGAAATATGATTAGAACTATCAATTGAAGGCGCATGTACCTCATTGACTAGTATCAGTCTCATCTAGTGCATTAGCACCATATGACTGGTGGTGAACTCTCATGTCATTAAAGTCTACATAATCATTTGTATATTCGGCCGGTTTCATCATAGGAAAATGGATCCCATGGACTAGCACTATTAAAAAAACTTGTCAACGGCTGCTAACTTTAGTTAAAGGGAAAGACAAATTTGTAAAATTTAACGTCACCGGAAATAAAAACAGAATTAGTATCAAGACATAACAGTTATAATATTTTTTCTTAGCTGGATATCTACGCAATACAAAATTTTCAGCACATTTAGAAAATTTTCCAGAAACATTAATCTTTGTTGCAAAACATAAGCAACTAAAAACACTGAGAATTTCAAAAATTCAAACTTTATTAAAAACTAGTTCATATGGAGATAACCCTTTTGAAACAGAAGGTAGCATTCTATTGATTAAAAAACTGATGTAAGGATTGCATAGCCCAAATACTTAACAAATACTTAGTAGGATGATATGATTGAAAAAGTAAAGATCTAGCAACATTAAGAATTTGCCTACGATTTCATAAAAAAAGTTCCATATGATTATTTATAAATTATTTCCCATTATATGAATGAACTGTTTTAATAGTAGTTTCAAATTGATTAACTAAAATATTTTAGAATGAATAAAAACAATAAAACATTTCATCTTTTGATTTTAAAAGATACATCGAAGTTTCCCTTATGAAATCATCAACAATAGTAAAAAAAAAGCACCTATAACCTTTTACCGATGTTCCTCTATAGGGTTCCAAAACATCTAGATGAACAAGTTCCCCTAACTTTGATGTCACATGTTATCTAAGAGGAAAAAATTCTTTAGTTTATTTTTCTTTGTGAAAAACATCACAAGGAGGAAGAGATTCATTTCCAAATTTGAGTTTATCTTTTAATATATTAAGGGCTTGATCAGCTGGATGACCTAACCGACTATGCCATATAAGTTTAGAAACACAACACTTAGATAGAACGATCAGTTGGACTAACCATAGATAATAATAAAAAGCATACATTTATGAAGACTAAATAGTTCAGATGGTCACCATAATTTATTGGATGCCCAAGACAAGTCAACCATAGTGCCGAAAAAGCAATTTGACGGTAACAAACAAAGCAGACAAACAGAGACACGAAGATAAAAAAAATTACTTATGTACTCAAGACAACCATGATCTCCCATAACTAATATTTAATAAGAGAAAGGAACAAGAAACACTCACAATGGTCCTTTATACGCTTTTAAAGTTACCAACTCAGTTAGGGATTTTAGCCGTAAAAATGAGGTTAAGATAGGCTCGAGTAGGTTTTGATTAACCCTAATCGAGGTTAAACTTGATCAATTTAAATAGTCGCATAGAGTTGCAAGGAAGACGAGGTCCTTTAGGATCGAATAAGTATCACCACCGTAGATGTACGCCGAAAAGAAAATAACACGATCTAAAAAAGATCGCTAAACGCAGAAAACCTAAATTGACACAATCAATGTGAAATCTTCAAGGAATGAATAAGAAAACCCTAGATCGATACAATCGGTGTCAGATCTGTAACAATTCATAAGAGATCAAGAAAAAAGAAAAAAAATACACTAATCTTGGGTATGAAAAAGCTTTGGACGCACCGTCGTTCAAGAAATGAAGATGATCAGAGCAACCTTAGGCTCTAATACCATGTAAAAATTTTATAGACACACAAATCTACAACATGAACATTTCACTTTATTATGAACCAAATCGTTTTCATGCAACTTACAAAATAAACCTCACTACAATCAACCTAAATCTACTCTCAAACTACTTTATCACTCAAAATAAGAGATTACAAGTATAATAGAGCAAAAATACCAAAAACCCTAAAATGGAACCCTAGAAGACTATGTGACAACTAAAAGATACGAAGGAGAATAGAGTATATGTGTGTGTAAAATAATCTGAATGACGACCCAAGCCTCTTCACTTGTATATATAGCTAGGTAAGAACTAACCCACATATCCCAAAGTTGGTGAATGTGAACACGAGGATCGATCATTTCAAATGACCCACAGATACCAAATGATCGATCTTCGTGTTCACCGTCATCAATTTTAAATTAAACAAGTCGCAACTCAAAATTATCACATCAAATCACTTTCACCCTTTACCAAATACATCATCACAAAATAGATCCAATTTATATTATATAAACGTTGCTGAAGGTCGATTAGAACCAACCCACAAATACCACCTGATCGATCCTCGTTTTCACGTTCACCAACTTTCAACTAAACAAGTGGCAACCCAAAACTATCACATCAAATCACATTCACCGCCTTACTCAATACATCATCACAAAATGGATCTAATTTATATTACAAAATAAATCGTACAAAATACAAATATATACAAATGCAAACAACACAAAATATAACGGAAAATGTTAAGTTTGAAACATTTACATATTACATATTTTAACAAAATGTTTATATTAAAAAACTAAAATAAATTTTAAATACAAATTTAAGAGCATTAAAATAAATTTTAAATATAAATTTAAGAGCATCATATTTATGGCTATTAAAACCTTACGCTTCACTCGTATACAAAAAATCATTTCTTTAATTTTATAATTAGTTTATAACACGTGAGAACCACGTTTATAAAATTAATTAAACTTTTATGATAAAAATTTATAATTATTAATCAATTATTTTAAATAAGTCATTTTAAATAAATTATTAATTAAGAGATATATCAAAATTTTAAAGTTATAACTTCAAATTTAACATATAATTAGAAAATGTAAATTTGAATTTTAAAATGAGTTGCCTAATATATGTAAATGATACATGATATAATATTAATGATGAATTGTATTAAAGGGAAAATTGACAAAAGAAAATTAAAATATTCATTTATTAGAACGAAGACGTCAGTTCATATATTATAAATATTACAGAGATACGACCCTTATAATGAATACCCTTATTAGACATAACTCCTTACGTACATATAAGTTTAAAAAAGAAAATAAGGAAAAAATTCATGGATGTATTTACACAATACCTACATGGCATGACGTACGTCTATATATCCAAATCATAATTTTCGAAGAACAGTAATGAAACTTATGGGCTTAATATCTTCTATACCCATTTCTTCATCAATCAATTTCCCATAATTCTCAAACAAATTGTCAAGAATCTCTACTCCAAAATGACGGGAAATCATCGATTCTTGAATCGCCCTAACAGTCCTGGCCACTGCAGTTCCATGGCTCATATAAGCTCCGGAGTTTCGTTCCATTTCAAACATTTCAAAAAGCTCCATTTTAAAACATCCATCTTTCTTTACTTCCTCCTCTAATTCATCCCTTGATGGTGCATAGAAGTGTGAATCATACCCATCAACTTTTTCTTGCTTAACTTCTCCCTACATGAACACCATAATAGAACAATTAATATTGAAAAGAAATTCTTAAAATAATATCTTCTTTTATATGAACTTATAAGTATATATACCTGAGAAACTAAGGTGGCGAATGATCGTGAAAGAAGTTCCCAAAGAAATGAGTTTCCCCTATCAACATGGCTTCGATCTCTCCTTCCTAATAGAATCAACACCATCCGACCTCCTGCTAAAAGTTCTTTCGACCTTGATCTTAAAAACATTGAAAAATCTTCTTGAAATTGATCAAAATACGCTTTAGAGACTTGTGGAGAGCTCGATTCCGAGATGTATAAGCTACCTTTGTTAACCGACTTTCCATTCTTGTCATACAATCCCGGAGGAACCTGAATATAAATGTTAGATTACGATTTGAAGTTGATGAAATAGTTGTAATTAGGTCAATATTACGACATAAACAGACAGAAAGTAGGTAAAGTATATAACCTTGGAGAGCCAGTGCAAACTGTAAGAAGAGTAAATGAAGTGCAAACACTTGTCGGGAAACAGTCTGCCGTAGAAAGTACCCGGATAACCGGCGATGTATACGCTTGAATTGTGGTTGGGGCTCCGGTGACGCCTTTGGTGGTTTAATGCTTGGTGGAAATCAGGGAGTATTTTGAATGTGGCGTTGAAATCGTTGGTTGGAAGATCGTTGAGGTGGATGCGGAACTCCGGTGGTGGGGTGTTGTGGAGTTTACCGGCGGTTTTGTCGATGGCTTCCACCATATCTCGTATGGTTGATAGTGTGTTTTGGCCGGAAGAACAGCCGAGATCGGCTATGCCGAGGCTTTCGGGTGTGGTGGAGATGTAGGTTTCTTCTAGGGTTTTGAGGGTTATATGCTTTACCATATCTGAAGCCTTTTTCTACAACAAAAACCATATTTATTGAATATACGATAAATTATAATTTTTTGTTTTCGTTATTTCATTAAGTTTTCTCTAAATATGGAGGTTGTCTAGATTAAATGGTAACTTTATAGTTTATAGACTTGGAATGTGTTTCGTAACTAAAACTAGTATACGTAAAGTTGAAAGCTGACAATAAAACATAGTTTTTATTTACATAGAAATGTTAATTAATTGGAAGCAAAAATTTAAAAAAGTAAACCTTTCCCAAAACTATTTAAATAGTATGAATTATGAAATCTTTGTTTAAAATAAATAGTTTTAAGTACGTAATTCTGAACAATACTTTTTTTAAAAGATAAAAGTAAAAGCTATCAAAATCTCGGTTGCCAAACAAACCCATTAATGAAGAGTAAATATTGACATTTTAACCATGTCACTGGAATTTTTATCATAAAGTTCTCCTTTCCGATTATTTCTTCTAAATCCTCTTTTTATGACAAAAATACGTCTCTTAAAGTCGTATAAAAGTTCCCAAAAAAACTATTTTCAATTCCAAAATGTATTAACTATAGTATATTTGTTAATAAAATGCTTATATATTAAAAACGTTAATTAATAAATTTAATCTACATAGTAATTCTCAGGAAGTCGTATACTTAGGAGACCTTTTTTTGACATATTTTCTATAAAACTTTTAAATAAATTAAAATTAGTAACAACAAATAATTAAGATAAAATAAGGATAATAAAAACAATAATACCAACAATAAAAAAATATATGACTACCAATAAGAAACAAATAACAAAAATATTGATAACAAAAATATAATAGCTTAATACCAACAGTAATTTATTTATATTTTTGTTTAGTTTATTGAATATTTGAAACTTAATAATAGTAATAATTAGATACTTGTCATAATACAATAAAAAGAATAACAAAAGATACAAAATACAAATACAAAAACTAAAAATAAATGTAAAAACCAAAATGGTATTTGGAAATTAAGTTATACTTTGAAAAAAAAAAACTATTATTGAACTAGGACTCTAGATGTTTTGGGTTGACCGAATAAGCCATGACTTTTCCAATTAAGTTGAAATAAAACAAATGTACATATAATGAACAAATCATCTAAATTAACTAGTTTATTCTTAAGTCATAAATAGACGTCCCTTAACTTCAAAACTTTAGGCATATCCTCTTAGCCATTTTTTTTGTCACATTAACCAAGTAAATAAAATCTATAATATATAACAGTTGAAAAATACATAAAATGTAAGGTTGAGTGTACATGTGTTACCTGAAGAGATGAATTTTGTGCATAGCTATTATCACCAAGTCCACCATTCATGTGGAAAACTTTCTCAACATCCATTGGTCAATGGTTTTGAGGTTTGGTATGAGACCCCCTACATACCATCTCTCCCCTCTTTATACTTGATTCAAAATGCTTGATGACATAACTCTTTTCTCTCACTCTATAACCACACATCCCAAAAGTTTCGGAAATACCAATCAAAATGTCTCAAATTATTGGGGTATAAGCGTGTATTTACATATAGAATAATAGAAACATGCGTGTTTATATGAAATTTATGATGTTTCACTAAGATTCCTAATCTCCTTTTCAAATGTCAAATTCATCTATATAAAGATAGATTTTTTTCGGTGTATCATTGTGTTACATAAAAAGATTCTGTTATATTGGTGAGCAATTTCGTTTGGACCACTTAATAAAGAAATTAGCCACGAACTCAAACAATTGTTTTTAAGTCTGCATGTCCCACTATCCGTGTCAAGATAATTTTCGTGTTAATTAGTTTTCTTATATTTTCTTACTAAAGTACTGTTAGAATTTGAAAGATATTTACTTTTAGTCGCTTTTATATATATATATATATTATAGATATATTATAAATATAGATATATATATATATATATATATTAGATATATATATAGATATAGACACACTACTAGAAAGAAAAGCTTTCCTTGACTGATATTATATGTCGTAAATGCCTATACATAATTGACAAATATATGTCGTTGAAAGTCATGTCATAAAGGAATATGATAGGCATTTGGTCTCTCATAAAATTTACAATAGACTTTTATGACCTACAATTGGGACATACATACAAAACATGTGTTTTCGACATACACTTAAGATTGACTTTGTATGTCGTAATTCAAAACATTTATGTAATTATTGACATAAATTTACGATATACATTGTGTGTCATTGTCTTATATTTTTAATAATATATATATATATATATATATATATATATATATAATAATAATAAAAAACATCATACATATGCAAGAGGCAATCCATTACACAAACTATAGTGTCAAATTCAAAAGTGTGTTCCAAATTCGTCAAAAAATAGTTGTCAAATACATATCACTGGCAAATAAAGTTTATGATATAAGTAACCCATTCTTCACACACATTATCAATGTGGACGCTTGTATATATATATTAATTCTTTCCCTAAAACTGAAACAAATTAATATTTAGCAAAAACATAAAAATTTTATATATATATATATAATATATATATATATATAGATATATATCTAGATGATATCTATGTATATATGTGTGTGTGTGTGTGTGTGTGTGTAAATTCTACAAAACTTCAAGTTCTTCATCAATTAGCTAATATATTTGCTTACATCATTATTCAACACTTCAAATCCTTTATCAACATCTAGGGGTGTTCGTTTGGATGGATCGGTTTGATCCGATCCAATCAGGTGAATCCAAATTAATTTCGGTTTTCAAAAAGTGAATCCGAGTAGTCCGAATTAAATTCAAATCTGATCCAAACCATTCAAATTACAATTCGGTTGGATCGGTTTTCACAATTCGGTTTTCAATAAGCAAGACATTTAAAAAAATATATAACATAATATTAATCAACTTTAAAATAATTTTTTTGGTGAGAATTAAAATTATGAACAACTATTAAAAAATTTATTATAATTCAATATTTTATAGATAAAAAACTATTGAAAAGTATACATTGAAGTATTTTATTGGATAATACTTTCTAATCTATTTAAAAAATCAGTTTAACAAATTAATAAATAACTAAAATATGTATATTTGAAACAAATATATATAAATAAATAAATAATAAACTCTTATTCGGTTTTTTTGGACTATTCGGTTTTAATTTTATAAACCGTAACCAGTCCGAAATCCAAAATAATAATTTGGTTTTATTGGAAACCCATTCAAAAATCCAAACCAAATAGTTCAATCCAAATTGTCCAATTGGACAATTCGGTTTTATCCGAATAGTGAACAGCCCTATCAACATCTGTTTTCATGAATTTTAGAACATAATACCCGCATTTCGTGAAACCTGGATGAAAGGGAGACTATACAATTACATAACAAATTGATCGGTCAAAGAAAATATTATATTAGACAAATCCAATTGAAGTTAAAGTTGCAGGTTGTGCTAACCAAAACATTTATCCAGTTAACATTAACCGTGTTTTTATCCATTTTGTCTTGCATGCAAAGACAATGCTCTACAAAAAAATGGATGAAATATATTAAAGAAACTAATTTAATGTTTTAATAATTTATATTACTTACGTTTCAATCAATTGCGTCGAGTTTGTATCAACATCTAGGGGCCTTAGGGAATTAAGGTAATAGCAGCACCCAATGACCATTATAAACCCAAAAACCAAATAAAAATTAAGACAAATAATTATAAAAGAAGCTTAAATGCAAGAAATAACAAAGTAGATTATGGTAAAGGAAGTTTAAATACAACAAATGGCAGCTTACTTTCTACTTATTTATGGTAATTGAAACTTAAATGGAAGAAATAGCAAAATACATTGATATTTCCTGCACTTGGGGACATAAAAGGACTTATGTAGTAAAAAGAGTAAATTATGTTTTTTTCAAGTGAAATGAATTAAAGTATGATACTCTTTCATTCATTTTACCCAAAAAAATACGTAACTGCATGAAATAGCAACTTAATTCTAATTATTTGTGGTAAAGAAAGCTTAAATGCAAGAAATAGCAAAGTACATTGCTATTTTCTGCACTTAGGACAAAAAAGAGTATATTTGTAACATCCCGACTCCCAGGTATAATATCTTTATAATTTTTCATGATTTTGACTGAGCAACTCGACGAGTTCGAGGCCCCAACTCGTCGAGTAGAAGAGGGATTTAGGCCGCATGGGTTTTACGAGCGACTCGACGAGTTGGAGGGACCAACTCGACGAGTTGGCGCTGTGAGAGGAAAACCTAAATTTTCGGGTTTGTGTCCTATTTAAAGGGCCTTAAGCCCTCATTTCCTCCACCCTTGTCACTTGAGAGCTCTGTGAGAAACCCTAGACCAGTTCCACTCGTTGTGAAAGAGAAAGAGACTAAATTGAGTGTTCTTGTGCATCTTTGGAAGGAGATTTGGAGAGCTTTGCGGATTGGATCGAGGAGGGGCTATGGATCCAGTTTTCTTCAGTGATTAGTTTCTGTGTGGAGGTAAAAAGCTACTATCTTGATCATTTCCTTGTGAGATCTTAGTTTAGGGAGTTTTTAGGGTTTTCTCCCATCCATCTTGTGTTATTGAGTCACTTGAGCGTATCATGAGGTTGAAACCTCAGATCTGGACTGTAGGAGGTCTGGTGAGCCCAAAGATCCGAGCTTTATTGAGTTTGAGGCAAGCTTTTGTGCATCCAACCCAAAATGGATCTTGTTTGGCATTCCAAGCCCTAAGTGCCATGCATGGACGTAAAGCTTGCAGCTTTACGTGGTATCTCAGCTTTGGGAGGCTAGATCTAGAGTTTGGGGTTGTAACTCTGTCTTAAAACTCTGAATGAAAAAATAGACTTAAGGGACTCGCCGAGTTGATGAACCAACTCGATGAGTCAGCTAGGGTTTTCCCCGACGAGTCTGGACATAAGTAACTCGGCGAGTTGATGAGACAACTCGACGAGTTAAGTTGGATTTTCGCGACATTTCTAAAGGAACGAGGGGACTTGACGCGTCACATTGTAACGTCCCAAAAATACAACCCAAAAATTTCGTTTGAAAAACATTATCAAAAACCATAATCATCCATAATCAAAGAAAACCAAGTGTCATGTATCTCAGAATCTCATATCAAATACTATATCAAAATCAAATGAGAAAATATCAGAGTCTAACTCCCAGGCTAAACTGTGGTGTGTGCCATGCCATCATCCCGAGCCCTTCCCTTTGCTAGTTGAAATACCTGAAACCAAAACTGAAACTGTAAGCACGAAGCGCAGTGAGCTCCCCCAAATTACCACATACCATACAATAACATATAAACCACATACTGGGCCTTGCCCACTGCATCAGACCGAAGTTCGGAACTAGCTAGGGCCTTGCCCACTGCATCAGACCGAAGTCCGGAACTGACTAGGGCCTTGCCCACTGCATCAGACCGAAGTCCGAAACTGACTAGGGCCTTTCCCACTGCATCAGACCGAAGTTCGGAACTGACTAGGGCCTTGCCCACTGCATCAGACCGATGTCCGGAACTGAGTAGGGCCTTGCCCACTGCATCAGACCGAAGTCCGGAACTGACTAGGGCCTTGCCCACTGCATCGGACCGATGTCCGGAACTGACTGAACATAGCATAACATAGCATATAATATGAACACATATACTGCATACTGCATCGGACCATAGTCCGGAACACATAACACATACCATGCCTGTATCACAAAGACACCAAGCATACTGAACTACTGCATCGGACCGTAGTCAACAATCCGTTGACCTGACTCGCCGAATTGGGCCGCCAACTCGTCGAGTCCCTATCTTTCTTTCTACTCCCTTCCCGATTCTACTCGTCGAGTTTAACCAAAACTCGACGAGTTCTCCTTCTTTATTGATATCCTGTCAATCTTCATCCGACTCGCCGAGTTGTATGAACAACTCGTCGAATTCACCTTCATCATAAGAACACGTCCAGCCTGTGACTCGCCGAGTTGTATGAATAACTCGTCGAGTCTGTTCTTACGGGTAAGGAGATTGTCTTGGACTCGCCGAGTCAGGGCGTAGACTCGCTGAGTCCCTCTACACTCAGATCTATGTCTTAACTCACTGAGTCTTTACTCCACTCACTAAATAGACTCACTACTACTGAACAGGGAATCTAAGACTCACGACCTGACTCGCCGAGTCGGAAGAACGACTCGCCGAGTCCTTTACATGCAGTTTCTATTCAGTCGATTCTAATCAGTTTTAGCGCATCCAATCTGACTAATCTGTACTAGCATGCAGTTCTCATAAAGTTGAACACATATAACAGGCACATAAGGCATCCTTCCTAGATCCTTAGTCCTAATCTAGCATGCTGTTCTGATAAAGCTAATAATCATAACATAGCAGAAACTTGTATGGGTAATTTGGGAGTACTTACTTGAGCTCGGCTGA